TTTGTATACTTCATATCTGCATTTACACTAGCTATCTTCTCTCTGTGGCTACCCTGAGCCCAGGCATTCCTTCCATGGTGCCAGCGGACTCTGATGTTCATTATTCATTTCGCCATGTTAAATGGATGTCCTGGTGGGACGAGCAATGAGCCTGTTCAGTCATCGGACCCCCACCTGGCATCTTCATGTCATGTCAGCCTCTTGCAGCGAACTAGACGTCCCTCTTAAAAGCAGGCCACTGGGCTATGTTCCATCCTTTAGAGATGAGGTTTGTAGACTGAGCAGTGGGAACTACGCTGCTGGGTCACGCTTTCTCTGACCTTAATTGAAGGGTTTTCACAAAGGCAGGTTGCTCTGTCCTGCATTATCCATTCAGACTGCCTCGGCTAGGAGTGTAACAAAAATAAACAATAAAGATGCAGCAAAGCTGATATAAAAAATTATCCAGTTTGTTTCTTTTAATATCAGTAAAGGTTATTTACGATATTCCAGGGATTCCTTCATTAAGACAAGATTAATTTTTTAATGAAGTATTTTTTTCCTGACAGGAAGACTGTGATGTTTAGTTTTTTTTATTTCTCTTGGTTGTTTTTTCCTTTTTTTTAGGTGTGATTAAGTCGTTCTATTTGTCGGTCTGGCTTTTTACAGTTTTATTTTCGCCCTGTGCTTTTGTCAAGGATTTCCAGAGTTATTTTCGAAAACATTTGTTTCTCTCTAATCTGATTAAAACACCATCCTGAACTCTATCCGCTCTACTTGATAACATCTGGCCATGACTCTCCTTAGCAGACAGTTCCTTGATTTTATTGCTGTGTTGACCTTTCTTTTTGGGGATTATGGTCCAATCTGTCCTTTTATAACCATATTTCTTTACATGCTTTAGTCTGAGTAGTTTTAGAGGGAAGTGCTTTAGATTTTCAGCCACTGCTCCTGTTTTTTGGGTTGTTGTTTTTTTAAGCACCTATCTAAGACATGGCGCTACATGAAGAGCTAGCAGGGCAACAGTAAAATACAGTTTTTTTATTTCTACACACAACATTAAGAGGAAGGCTCTGAAAAGAGTACTTTTAATATTTGTGCTGCTTTTTGTTTTCTTCTGAAGAACTACAAGGGTTTATAATTCACAGAGTAAATTCCAATGAACGTATTTTAACGTAGAACTAAGCTACAAAAAGACTGCTAGCTACACAAGCTAAAAAACTGTATCTTTTTTGTCATTATGTGCTCTCAGTCGCTATAGCAACATGTTTACTGAATGATGTTAGGCACTTCTGTGTGTCTGAAAGATTTATTGAGAAACAAATTGTCAGAATGTTATAGAAACTGTATTTTACTACATTCATCCTCCTAATTTTAGACGCATGGCAGCCATATTGGATTTAGAGGTCAGAGTGGTGAAAAACACAAATCTTTCAGACTTGGACGTACAATTTTAGCCTAGGCTAGATTTGTTGTACTTGTGTTCTGAAATGGAGCCTAGGCGGAAGTTCAACTGAAGAAACTGAATGCTTTCCTACATCCACCTGCAGCACACCCAATCAGCTTTGAACCACGCCTCCACGAAAGCCAATCGGCATCCAAAGTTCATCTTAAAAGGCCCCTGATCCTAACTGTCTGCTCCTGTGCGCAGGCGGTGGTTGCGCTGTTCATTCAGATGTCCCCGTTTCAACCCACCTCCAGCCTCTCCTCCACCATCATAGCTAAAGCTTCATCAGAGTGTCATTCCTCCTGGAATCTCACTGCGTTCCCTGTCTCATCTTAACCGGTCCGGCAGAAGACCACCATGTTGAGCCTGGTTCTGCCAGAAGTTCCTTCCCTACGGGGAGTTTTTCCTCTCCACTGTCACTTCATGCTTGCTCATCATGGACAGGTTCTCTCAGCCTGTGTTATCCAAACTGGACTTCCATCTTCAGGTCCGTGAGTGAAGCTCTAGAATCAGCTCACACAATCCACTAGATCTCCCCATAAAACTCAGCAGACCGTCTCGCTAACCAGCAGTCTACAGACTGACCAACTTCCTCTATCTCCACTCCACCACCAGTTTCAGGCCTGGGGGGACAAAGCCCTATTCTTTGCTCCTGTTCATGCATATCTATCAAAATTAAATGCTATGTTTCCTACCGAATACCGATAGTATTGTAAAAAGTATCAAAAGTATTGTATCAATAAATTCCTCCTAATTGTCTTTTTTCTTAGTATGAGTTTTTCGGATTGAAATGGAGTTAGTACAGCTGCGTTTGAGAAAGAACAGGATCTACAGAGTCGGTACCTCTGACTGAGGACCTTTGGTATAAGTGGAGTGGGGGCCTAGTGGTTAGGGCATTGCGCTTGGATCCCAGAGGTTCTGAGTTCAAGCCCCAATCTCATGGACTGCCGCTCTGGGTTCCTGAGCAAGACCCTTAACCCCACACTGCTCCCCGGACGCTGCACAATGGCAGCCCACTGCTCCCCAAGGGGATGGGTTAAATGCAGAGAGTTCATTTAGTTGTTTTGTACTTGTGACAATCTAATGACAATAAAAGTTTAATTGTATTCTAAAGAGACAAACTACAACATCTTACTATTTTGTTCTATTTTCTCAAAGCCCATGGAGAGCTTCCTAACTCTGTCTACTGCCCTCACAAACCATCGATTTGATCCTTTACACCTAAGCCATTACGGCTATTGCATGAATACAGCTTCTCAAAGCTTGAATCCCGTACTTTGGAACAAAGAACTAAAAATCAATATAGAGGCTTCAAATACATGTGTATATTTTTTAAAGAGTTATCTACCATCAGTTCATGGTTTTTCTGTGACTTCAGCTCCTCAGCTCTAAAGGCACTCTGATGCTGAGGAATGTAATGGAAACCCAGCCAGTTCTCAGAATGACTGAGAGCATCAGTAGCAGAGTCAATACCTGGCAGTGAGGATCAGACTCGTCTCTGTTTGTAAAAGTCTGTGGGTGCAGATGCTGATGTCTGATGAAACAAATCGCTGTGCAGGTTAGAAAGATATTTTACATGATTTCATTTCTTCTATGAAATACAAAAAAATGAAAACAATAAAAAAATGGTTTGTGCAACTTTTCTATGGTTCTTTAAAAGCATTTTTTGTAATTATGTGTTTATATTTTTTAAGTCTAAATAGAGTCAAAACTCTATTAAGGCTGTTAAAGCACAGATGATCTATCTACATTAGATGTTACCAGCAATTTAAACTAGCCTTCTACTGCCACCAAGTGGATTATAGTTGATACAACAATATAGTTTTATTGCAACCACTGGATTATTAAAAGAAAGTCTTTGTAGATAAGTTTTTGATAGCTTAAAAAAGTGAAACTAAACAATACCTACATGAATTATGACAAATATCTACAAAGGTAGTTTTAAAGTTCAATTCATAATGCTTGTCTTAAACGGGAAACTTAAAGGTGCAGTTCAGCCTTGATTTGTTTTTTGTTTTTTTATTTAATCAACATGTTTCTTTTGACGGAAAGTGCTCAAAGTTCTATATTCAACTTGAATTGAATTCCTCTGTGGAGGGAGCTATGGATTAGGGTGATGGCACAGAGGCCTTCCAACCTCAACGCCTTGGAGTGCAACGTGAAACGTGATTGGTTCAAATTATCTGCGGAAACTTGCAAAAAGCCACACTGCAAAAACAATCTAGAAATAAGAAAAAAAAAAATCTTAAATTAAGTGCATTTACCCCTAATTTGAGTAGATAAATACGATTTGCCAATGGAATGAGTATTTTACTTAAAAAATAGTTAATAAGATAATATGCACAATTCAATAGTGTTTTTCTTATTTTAAATGTAAATTGTTTTATTCCTCTGGCAAAGTGTCTCACACTTAGTAATCTAATTTAGATTACTATTTTTTGCTGTGTATGGTTTTGTGTGGTGTAATGCTAAAAGATTTTTCTGTTAGTTACTGAGACGGATGTAAATACATTTCAACATTAATTTTTATTCATCTTAAAAAACAGTTTTTTTTTTATATAAATTTAAACTTCTTTTAATTGTATCTCCTATTAGAAAGCAATTTCTTGTTTAGTAAAAATGTCTGAAAATCTGGTGGGGGTGTGAATCATTTTGGCCTGAACTTTTTTGGTAAATTATATTGCTAACCCTCTCAGGCTCAAATTAAGTTTTAGTTGCCGGAAAAATCTGATATTTGGACAAAATGATCATATGGGGTAGTAATATACAATTCAGACCTTTTTTTGAGAGAGACCTTCATATGCAATGGATTCTGGGATATTGCAGATTTGCAACAGTGGCCCGGAGTGGTAAATTAACACTGAAGATTGAATCTGATATGAACGTTCAATTTATTTGAATGTCACAAACAAAAAATCAACAAAACAAAATTCGAAAAATAAATTTCTCTCACAAAATTAGAGACAATTGGCATGTGTCATATCTATAAACATCCATGATTCATCTTATGTAGTATTGATTTCAAAATAATGGAAATTGGTAGTGATACTTATATGAAATTGGTGCTTAGAAAATCTGTTTCAGTGACTCCAAGGACTCAGCCTTGTTGAAAGTGAGTCAGTAGTGCTATCTGGTGAGCTGGAGAGAAACTGTTTGTTGCAAATGCACAACTAAGTCCTTCTATTGTACTTCGGAGTAACAAAAGCTTTTAAAATATGGATGTGGAGTAATTAGCTAAGTGGCTTTTAGCTGTTGCAAATCTGCAACATCTGCCTGGAGAAGAGAAAGAACGAGAAGGAATGAACAAATAAAACAAATGTATCAAATGTAATCTACACATAGGACATCTTGATGTATTTGGATCTTTTAAAGATTGTTGAAAAAGAACAAAATCGCTTTCTGAGAAGTCCAGAGAGCCGATCCAAACATATGGACATTATTCTGCTATTGAAATCTAATTAATGTTGTCACACGAGTTTCTGTAAAGAAGAAACACTATTTCATTTTTCTAAAACCCTCCCTTGCAGTTTTTGTCTTACTTTCTAACCTCTCCTTTTCACCTTTCTCTTCGCAGTGTTCATCATGGCTACTGGTCTGCTGGTGTACCCTTTCGGCCTTAACTCCTCACTGGTTCGATCTTTCTGCGGAGACGCTGACATCTACTACGCCGGCGAGTGCCAGATCGGCTGGGGCTACATGCTGGCTATCGTTGGAGTCATGCTCACCGTCTTCTTGCCCTTCTTTGCCAAATATGCACCGAAGGAGCAGCTGTCCCCCACCCCTCTGCCCACTCTGTTATAGTTCAGCCTTGTTTTTTTTCTCTCTTTAACTCTTGACCACTTTGTACGATCAGGACCTAAAGTCCTGAAAAGCTCCTGAGGAAGCCCCACTCAGCCATAACTGCAGCTGAAAATACAGAAGAAAAAAAATCCAAAAGCCGTCTTCCTGCATCTGTAAAGTTATTCTTTTTTTTTAATGTTTAATTAACAAAAAAAGTCCAACCTCTAAAATGTGAACTTGGTTTTATGTTTCTGTGAAGACATGTTGCATCCAAATGGAAGCATGATGCTACATGGCTCCGGGGTTTCAGCGCCATTTCTGTTCAGTGCAAGTTTTTTGTGTATAAGAAAGCTTGATAAAGAGGCAATAAGGACAGTTTGAGAATTGAAGTACATTTGAAGGATGCAGACGGACGTATCTGAACTTTAAATGAGTCGTCTCTAAAATAAATTGGTCAGTGTTGATAAATAAACATGTGGGAACTTTGAAGTGCTAAACAATTCTTTAAAAAAGGACTTAGAAGGATATTTCCCTTCAGATGCTTCTTTTTCTTTTCGCCTGACAGAGAACTAATGGAAGTCAGGACAATGTTCAGCTTTCAGAGACTGAATCCAAGGAAAGGACACAGAGACGCAGCGTCAACGCCGCAGAAAGGACAATTTCAAAACCAGCCTCCTTTCCTATGAGGAGGTAAAAAAGATGTTTGTTTCAGTGCAGTGTTGTTATAAAAGGAAAAAAATCTAAAAAAAAAAATGTTGAAGACACTGCTTGTTTTTGTCAACCTTTTCCCCAGATTTGTTCGTGTGACGTAGTTAGCTTGTGTTCTCTGCCCTCAACACCCGATACTAAACTTCAATTCAGGAAATAAAAATGTTGCAAAATGCCAGGAGGTGTAGGGAGGGTTTCTAAAACTGCATGGAAAGATGGGTTCTGTTAACGGTGGAACTGATCTAGATTTTAAATGTGATCTGACCAAATTGTGCCTTTTAACGCAACAAAGACAAGTTTCATACAGTTATCAGGTCTCTCTCTAATGAAAGCAGAGGAATCTGTTGTGCGATGTGATGTGTTTTTCTCCTCTATTTTTCCTCCTAGTGGTAAAGTGTTTTTTTATGTACTTCATGCAGTGTGATCTCAGTAATGTTTGGGAGGGAAAAGACGTCTATGAAGATATTAGCGAAGATAATAGCCAAGAGGAATGCAACACACTTTTTTTTCATCATCCTCTGAAACGCTTCTGCAGATTATCCAAAAGAGGTGAATCACTCCAAGTGCTTCATTAGGAGGTGATAATGCTCACATCCTTTCTCTGCATCGTTTTTATTGAATTTCATGTAGAAATAGACGGGATTTAAAAAGCATTTCTAGTACATGATAACATTTAATGTAAAAAAGGGTCCACCAACAAGCTGATGAGTTTTAGATCAGTGGTAACTATAAGACGGCATGGTAGGAGTGAACTAAATAAATAAATGGCAAAATCTGTGAGGTAACCAGAAAAATAAATGATAGAAATGTTGAACTGTCTAACACAGGAAGAAACTTTAAATATTGCAATATGGTTTACAGCAGTTGACTTTTTTGTTAAACTGTCAAAAATATTGTTTGGAGGGGGGTGGGAAATTTTTCTTTTAAATCAAATGGGGGCCCAGCAAAGTGATCTGGTTCACTGCCAGGACCATCAAGCCTAAACTCAGTTTTTAGTCAGGGTTTAGCAAACTAAATGTTAAATAACTCCAAAGTATGCTTAAATCTTTGAAAGAAATCATATTGCAATGCTGGTAATGTACTGGACCTCCAACTGGACTCATCCCCATATTTGTTGGAAAGCTACGTGTAGTTTCAGCACTGGTAAAAAAAAAACAGTTTTTTTGTTGAGAAAATGTCTTTTTTTCATTGTGGTATTTTACTGTAAATAAACTAACTGTTGTTGGTATCACATTATTCCTAACTGCCCCTTTTTTGGATTATACTTTTTCAATAAACTGATTTGTGTTAGCTTTAACCAAATTGCTCTTCTGGTTGTTTTGTGGCATTCCTTTGTAATAATAAAGAAAAATCATGGCTTTAAAAAAAAGATCCTTTACTCTTTACTTAGTTTTAAATGAACTTTATATCTGTTCTCAGAGAACTATGAAAACAGTAAATTAGAACAAGTAGTTCAATGGCTACAGAAAATAACCCTGTGGAAGCAGCATCACTTCAGGGTAAAAAAAACGCAAACATCACTTATAACTAACTGGTAAACATTTTTAACGAGCTACAGAAATGTTAGAAAAACCTAAAACTTTTGAAGACAGCTGATGCTCAGACTTCGCTGAGTATCTTGACCTGTGCTCTCATCTCTGCATCCGAGACTTTGACGGCTTCCAGAGCGTTCCTCTGCTCTGACGGCTGCCCGGCTCTGACAGACATACAGATCAGCACGTCTCTGCTGCGGTCATAGTTGCCGACGCAGCGATGGACCTGACCTCGGATGAGGCGTGGCAGCGCCTGCTCCTGATAGGCATCAAACGGGGAAATGAAACAACATTTATTCTGTTATATTTTACAGTTTCATGCCAATAATATTAATAATAATAGAAAGATGTTCCCGTAACTGTGACATTTAGGGGAAAAGGCCAATTTTACCAATAGAAATCTGCAAACTGTGGTACCCACTGGTATTCAGTCCCTTAAAACCCACAGTTTCAGCTGTGCACATTCAAATAGTGACATGTTTGCTTATTCTTCTTTACCTCAGGCTCAGTTTCACAACATATTAATAGTGCGTTCAGGGTCCTAAACAGGCTGCGTCTTTTCAGCCTCTCACCGTTATCACCATCTATTTACTGCTCACCAGAATAACTATCCCAGCTGAAGGAAAGCATCCCCACAGCATGACACTTCTGCTACCGTGCTTCAAGGATGGTGGGTTCAGAGTTTGACTTTCTGCCACACAGAACGTTTTAGGTCGACCACTTCTCTGCATCTTTTGCTTTGCTTGTGGCAAACCGGCCCCATTTGAAATCCTTTTAACAACGACTTTCTTCTTGACACACAAAGATAAATGCCTGATTTGCAAAGTGCATGATTACTAGTTTTCCCATCACCAGGTTCTCCTACTTAAGCTACAGAGTTATCATGGGTCTCTTGTCCCCATTGTTTGGCTTGTTCTGCAGCTGAGCCGTACTGTTTTCTAAGTAAATTGTTCTATTACTTAACTCTACTTTTAAAATCTTTATTTAAAAACACTGTCTCTCTTCTGCCTGTTGTGCTGCTTGGTTTTCACTGAGCTGTTTGGCATCAATATACTCTAACAAACCTCCAAAGCATTCATGGAAAATCATAGTTTCACAAGATTTTATTCAGGTGTTAAAGTAAAAGGGGCTGAAAGCAAAACGCTACACATGTAGATTGCTATTGTTTTCCTTCCACTCTATAAACAGGTGCTACTTCGTTTTGGACTATAGATAAAACTTATATATACTTCCTATCAAGAAAAAATACTTCATTTAAAAAATGAATCATTTTTTAAGGAAGGAATCTCTGGAATATCATAAATTGCCTTTACAGATATTAAAAGAAGCAAACTGGGTCATTTTAAAATCGGCTTTGCTGAATCTTTACTGTCTATTTTTGTTAGCCAGGTGGTCTGAATGGATAATGCAGAACAGAGAGACCTGCCTTTGTAAAATATAAATGCACTGAAGTTTTGAAAAAGTTTTAAAAAGGTAAATAGTTAGAGAAACATCTGCAGCTTAACATTAGTTCAAACAAAATACATGATAGCCAGCATCTATGACTATAGCTTAGCATATTTGCATTTTATTTACATTTTATTTCAAACTCTACTTACTACTAGTCCTTTATTATATTTATTATATTTTATTATAAAGAAAAAGAAATGTTAGAACTGTAAATATACAGTCATATGTTTATTTTACTGTTTTTATGTATTTTTTACTGTTTTCAAGGCTGCACTTTAAAAAAAATGAAATTTTCTAGAGAGCTGTTCTTAACAAAATGTATTTTTGTTTACACTTGTGTATACAAAATGACTAAATTAATCTGTCTAAGTCTAAACTCACATTTTCATAGAAGACACACTGCAGCACGTCCTTCCCGTCTCTCAGGAGAAAATTCTTGGCTCCGTAGCGCCCCAGTGTGACTGCAGAGTCCAGAGTAGCTGTGGGAAAAAAAAAACCAGTTTGTTTAAAGGTGTTAAGAATGAAGTAAACAGAGGAAATGCAAGTTATAGGAACGTTAATTGCCTGACCAAATATCTCATAAAAGCAAGGAATTTTGTCTTTAAACTGGCTCCAGTGTCTCATTCCTTTAATAACTGTAGTCAGGATCCTGAGAGAAGGCTCCATGGCGGGTTTCACTGGAACCGCTTCCTGCTGAAAATATTCATCAGAATCATTGTTACACGATAACAAATGACAGGAACTGATTTTAAAAGTTTAATGTAACTTTCTACCTGATTCTTGGTTGGTTGAGCTCTAAGAGTTTGATTTGAACTGTTTTTTACAACTTGGTTAGATTTCTGCTCCTCAAAGCTGTTAGTAAATTTCCAGGACTTGTGAGGTTGCTGTGCAGCATGAGCAGAGGGCCTGACGGGTGGTTCTTGAGGAGGCAGAGGTCTGGACTGCTGGGAAAACTGATGTGCAGAGAACGTTGGTTTGCGGGACGACTGATGAGTCATCTGAGGGGGTCCTGCGTGCCGTGTTGGTCTGCTTCCCTGGTTCTCGTTGCCGGAAGGATGTTGATTTTTGCTTTGTCTGGAATTATCACCAAAGCTGGAATCCCATTGGCTGGGTCTAAAGCTGGTTTGGTCCATCATGGAGCTGAAGAAACACAATATTCAGTTTAATTAAAAAAGCAAGATTCTTTATTTTAAATGTAATATACAGTGGTGACAATTCTGTAAAATTCTATCCTATGAAAACAATGAAACAGAACCAACGTATGAGTAAGATTTTAACATTATGCAGATCATTTGCTTGTTATTGTGTTATGAAAATGAATATTCCTTAACCTTTTTTACAAGGAAAGATAAAAGAAGTGAAGGACAGAGAGTGAGTGAGGAGCACCTCTTGGCCCCTGGTTTGTAGGGATGTGACATGGGTTTGATGACTCTGGTTGTAAAGGGTCCAGGAGCAGGTCTGTTGCTGCCATACTGCGGGGGTTTAGCAGACTCTGGGAAACCTTTTCTGTTCCACTGATGGTTTTGAGGAGCACTAGAAGAAGAACCTGAGACCGGGTAACATCCATAGGCACCTGAGAAGAAGAACATCCCAGGGGTAAATCCCACTCTCACTAGTATCTAAACATGATCTTGCTACGTATTAATTGAAATTATTGAAGTAAAATAGAGTACAAGGTAGCAAAGTATTAAAATTTCAAGATGTGGTACATAAAACATTTTTTTAAACTTTTCCAAAAACATTTTAAACATAGTCTGACAGTTTCTGTGAATGTGCTGCCACCTAGTGACGGAAACACGATGAAAGGCTTTAACTTAAATTAATATTTTTTATAAACTAAGACTCTCGCTGAATATTCTATTCTATGGGAAGAAGGATTATTTGGAAATTTTCTTTGTAATTATTTGTGATGCAGTAGGAATTTAAATGCAATTTATTACAGATCATCTCTGCGCTACCTGTGTCGGATTGTTTTTCAAGGACAAAAAAAATGTAAAAAATCACACTGATGATGCAGAGGTGTTAAAAACTCATATATCACTTGGTGTCAAATGGTTAAGAGTGATTACCTGAGGCGCCGAGAGGAGCAGCTGAACTGGTGCTGGCCGTGGCTTCATTTGGGGGAAAGAACTCAGTTTGTCCAGGAACAGATTTCAGAGGAATCCTGTTTCTCTTCCTCTGGTTAAAGAGTGACACAGGAAGGTAGCCTGATAGACAGAACAAAGGAAACACCTATGACCACAACAGAGGGGCAATTAGAGAGTGTAAAAGCCAAGTTTTAATACACACACATGTAGATTTGTCATTATTTTGTATGAATCATGCAGGACGTCACATGTAGGAAATAATCTTCCAATAAAGCAGACACTCAACATGTTATAACAGATATATACAATGTAATAAAACATACAATGTAAAACAGAAAGCAGAGTTGTAGTTTAACATTCCTATCTGGAGCCTCTGTACTTCTATCCACCCACAGGGTTCCCACACCTTGCTTAAAATCAAATTAAAGGAGCATTTAAGGACTTTCCAGGACCACGTTTAGCATTTACCTGCTGCTACCGCTGGATGCTGTATTCAACCAAAAAATGGAATGGTATAGAAGTTGTTGCAGAGAATTAGTGAAAAAGAGTGAATCAGACATGTAGCCTGCATTTATTTACACAATATATGGATTTGTCTGGACAATTCATCAGTTTTTGTCATACTCCCAGTCCTTGGTGCAGGCTGGGTTTGTCCTTTTTTTCTCTCTCTGCAGGGCTGGACGGGCAGGTGCTCCTCATCAGGCTGATTCCCACCCTTTTTAAGGAGCTGGAACCAGGAGGAGGGCGTCAGTTTGTTAATGCTCCAGCGTTGGTACAACTGATCCAGAACCAAGCCTAGCATCTTAGCTTTGCCTGAATCTAACCCTGTCCTCTCTGCTCCCTTCTACTAGAATCCAGGATCCCAAGCCTAGAAACCACTCGAGAGACCTCTGCGCTTTGGACCCCCGTTAGAGGCGTTTTCAGTCAGCCTCTAGGAACCAGTGAGGCTTCTGGCCTCAGAACCAAAAAAGCCCTCCTGCCTGAGCTCACCTGCCTGTCCACCCTCAGACACCACCATCTGGTCTCACCAATCGGACCTGCACCAACAGACTGGACCACTGGACACCATCCTCCCAAACAGACGCCAAGCCTTCCTCTCTGTGAGTCTCACACATCCCTCACTCCTCTACCTGCACCGAACTGTTTCTCACCTGTCACCAAACCTCTTCCAGCAGTATCCTGACAGCCCTGCCTGCCGGACTCCTCTCTGTACACCACAAAACTTCAATAAAACCCTTAACTGATCATTGCCTCCGTTATTGCTCCTATTCAGAGTCTGAAAACCCAAACATGACAGTTTTATTGATTGATTTTTCCAAGAAACAACTTCTTCCATAGCTCAGTGTGATATCAGTTTATCGCTTTCGGTTTTAAATTTACAGATAAGTGATAAACCAGCTCATTGTGTAACACCTCTAGCTTTAAGCGTGTTATATTATCAATGTTTGTTGTATAACCTGATTATTTTACAAGCCTATTTGACATTAATGTGTTTTTTTACAATCTAATTCTAAGGTATGTAAGTTAGTTATTATTGCTATTATTATTATTATTATTATAAAACAGTTTTTTTTTTTTTTTACAGTGTCCTGTCTGGCGATGTGGCAATAAGAATAATTTTCTTGATGCCAGAAAGAGCCCAACAGATTTTACTTTCACAAGTGGAGCAGTAAGGCTATCGCCATAGTGTTCTGCTTGATTTATGCATATAAATAGCTTTATTATAATTCATGCAGGGAGTATTACAGCTTACATGGACACTGCAATGTAAGTAGAACAGGAAAGGAAAAACAGAAAAAAAAAGTAGAAAAGAGGAAAGAAAGAGGAGACAAAAGGGAGATAACAATGAAACTTATTTTTATAAAACTTAAGTGACAAAAAAATAAAATAATTAATTAAATTCTGTAGAGAAAAAATTGGAGATTACATTTTCCAGCCATATGGTCTAGCCATAATGTTTAGTGATGCTGTATAAACTGAAGGACTTCAAAAGAATGTACGGTAGATGTATTAGCAGACGTCTAATAGCACCCTGTTTATCTGAGATAATTTAAAGAAATTGTTCATGATAAAAAAAGAAGGTATTAGCCTAAAGTATTGTTTTAATGTATTCTCAAATTGATAGTTGAAATACACAACAAAAAAACTCTACTTAAAAATCTCATTAAGCTTCAACAAAAGGCAGCATGTTTGATTTTGGGACACTCTGACTATAGTATTTATTTGTTAGGAAGTACTTGTGTCACACAGAATCTAATACTATCTAGTTTAGGTTTAACTGTCTTTTCAGTAACTAACAACAGTAAATTACTTTTCATATGTATTTTTAAACAGTGTAATCCATGTTTATTAGACTCACAAGCAGTGAAGTTGTTTTCTATTGACAGATAATGAAGTGTGGCGTCTTTCTATCTACAGGGTCATTGGTGGCTATAAGGTTACTGTCTGAGATTTAGTTTCAAGCTTTTATAGCTCTGCACAAGAAACACAATAACGCTAATATAATAAACAGCAGCAATCATCCATGTAAATGTCCAGTTAAAAAATTTAAAGATTTTCTAAGGAAGGGAGTATTTTCATAGTTTTTTTTTTTTTTTTTTTACTTTCCATAATCTTTAATTAATGTATTTATTTATTTTTAATTTCACCATCTTTGAAGGATTTCAAGGACACAGCAGAGATAAAAGTCACTAATAATATTCCAATGGTCTCAGATAATGGGTTTCTGTCTTTACTGAAGGCTACAGGGTACATTAATATAAAACATTTCTGCTTCTAACATCAGACAAGATCAGACTAGATGGAGAAAAAAATACATAGACAATCACTAAGCAGCTTCTTTGATTCAACATAATTAACAGTAAACCAGTCTGCAGGTTTACTGCCTGTTCCTAGAGTTTCTAAAAGATGGAGAGGCAGATTTTTTTTAGTATTTTAGGATCCTTTCCTGTGAAAACAACTTCCAGTTTTAGCGAGTGAGGGAAACACCAGGGCTGAGCTGTCCTTTGGGCAAACGGCTGGTGGGCCAACAGCTATTCCAACCCAGGGCTGATATAATAGATTTATAATTAGTTATTCGATATATCAATCTATATTAATACTTTATTCACAAAATAATAAAAGGATTTAAATATCATTTTTAAAAATATTCAGAAAAGGGTTTATTCTGCATAACTATGATTTTTTTGTTGTTGTATATTTTCTATTTTGGTCTTTACAAAACCAGAATTTGCCAACAGTTTGTTTAATGAACTACTCCGTGTAAAATAAAAAAAATCTAAATATATAATCAGTTATTCAATTCAATTTCAATTCACAACACATGTCATCTCAAGGCACTTTACAATTCAACCAGATCATACATTCAAATTCAAGTTTTCTATCAAAGGAAAACCAGTTGACTGCATCGACTCATTGGCTCAAATGCAATCCCTCCCGTATTCAATATTAAGTAGCCTTTTTTCCAAGTAGTATTTTTAATGCTCAATTTATTTCTTTTGCTATATATTCATTTTTATACCTCTGAAAGTTTGAATATCTTATGTAGTTTACATGGTGTTTACACATAAAATATAACTAGGGCTGAAACAATTGATCGGATTAATCATGATTGATGGATAACCTAAATTAATGTTAAGTAATTTATTAACCGATTGTTAACTAGATTATAGAGACTCTAAAACATGCTGATAGTTGATAGATAAGTGATAGAGAAACCCACTTAGAGGAGTAACTTTTGTAAATTATTTTGCATTCAAGATTAAAAAACTTTTTCATCTGTCATAATGCTCTATCCAGAACTCCTCAAGTGGAAAAGTTTTAGTTTCACCTGGTTTAATTCTATTAAAAATCTTCTTTAAGGAACCTTTTGTATTCAATTATTAATTGATTAATAAAAAAAATAATTGACAAACTAATTGATTAGCAAAATAATTGTTAGTTGCAGCCCTAAATATAACCAAAATCTAGGGCTATAGAGGATTAGCGTATCCTTGGCTATCTCTGGAGTTATGCTCCTAAACACCTGGGCCAATGGAAGACATAGAGACCACTTTTTCTCACTCTAAATTAATCTGAACTGTTAACTTCTTGTTCTTTCTGTTGCTTGTTGTTAATGGTAGCTAAATGCGGCCTGGCATTCTGTTCAGCTGTGACACGATCCTGGAGAGAGGGGGCACCGCTTCAACAGCTGCAGCCGGCAAATTTATTTTCTCCTACCATAGATGATCCATTTGGTCCCGTCTTTCAGTGGTTCCATCTGTCATCCTCCAGACTAGAATCCTGGATCACAGCTAACTTGCTTAGCTGTGTTTTCTTTCTCTTAGATGAGGCCACTAAACTAGCTCCACTGAGAAAAATAACATAGAAAATACCTCTGGACAGTTCTGTTCATTTTATATATCTGTCTGGTCACACCCCCAGTAGGCCAGAGCACATGCCTGTTCACAATCAGCCCGATTCTGTTGGAGGGTTCTTCCTATTTCCTATTTCACTATCTGCATGCTTAGCAAGTTGGATTACTGCAACTCACTGACTTAATTTAATCTTTGAATTAACTTTTTGAGCATTCTGTAAGATTTGATGGAACTGACTCTGTAAAGTACCTTAAGATGACACTTGTTGTGAATTGTCACTGTATAAATAACCTGAATTATATATTTAAAGTCAACCGCCATTTATCCCTGTTCAACCGCTTTAGCAGCAAGAAAAAAGGTGTTACCCCTACCTTTGAACATGGAGAAATTTTTCATATTGAATAAGCTTTTTGTTCATTTTAAAGGTTAGATCATAGATGCATTCTTAACTTTTCTTCTAATTTAAAACTACTTTTTTTTTCATTTCAAGAAAGGTTTTACGTCAAGAATGTGATTGACTGACAAATAATTTTTCGGAGGAGTTAAAATGATCAGAGCTGAATTGTAGAAAAACAAAGCAGACACTCCCTCCGTTCACACTAAAACAAAAACCCATACCGTAAGAAAATTAATGGATTAATCTTAAGTGACTAGGGCCTTTTGTAAACAATAAATAATCAATTTTCAACAGGTAGGCTGTCTCCTTATCTTTATAACAGGGAAAAAATGCTAAACAACCTGGTTTACTAAACTAAAATAAGTTTATGACACTTTCAGATGGAGAACTCTGAAGATAGCTGCTGATTTTGATCAGAAGGTTTTGCAGGTCAGTAACCAAACATTTATTTATCCAAAATCATAGTTTATGAATCCGAAGCCAACTCCAGTCTTGTTAGGAAAACAAAAGATGCTGATAATAAGTTGTGAATTAGTGTCATTTGCTAATAGAAATAACTAGATTCAAAAATATTGTTTTTTTTTTTTTTACTCTTTAACATCTTGAATTGTGCCACACGTACCTTGACATTTTTAGAGAAATCAAAATGATGACAAATCTGATTGATTATATTAACCAGTGGTATCAGAGTTCAGTTTAGTGATGGGGTGTAAACCTTTACCACGTTTATTCCATAATCATTTACAATAAGTGTGTCTTTTATGTATGATTACAAGCAAAGTGAAAAATATAGCAGGTCCCTTTTTAATTTGTTGTATAATCTCCAATATTTAATATTAAACAATCTTAACAACAGAAATATTACTATTTCTGCTTCAGTAACACAAGAAAAAAAGGATTAACTTAAATCTATTACAGCTACAAAAAAGAATAGTAGGCTATTTAATTAAAAACATCTTAGACAAACCTGTGGCTGGTCGGTCCCCCTGCTGTTCCTGTTGCCACATTTTGGGGCTAAAACTTGTAGCAGTTTCTGTTAACAGTTGGGATTATTAGCAGAACTAGAAGAAACAAACAGAACATATGAAATATAACTAGTTTTGGTCAGTGTTCACTAGTATTATAAATTCTTATTTAACATTTTTACGAAGCAGTTTTGAAGTTTTCTTATAATTAATCAAAAGTTACCTGTAATAAATTAAAGCTAATATGCTAGCATGATATTACATTTCACAAGTTAGTCAAATTGAATATGTGAACCGTTGTAACTCTTTACTCTTATTGCTAACTATCTTAAAGGAAACGGTGTATATGTGAATAATAACCAAACCGTTTGACAACAAATGAGCTAAATGACGGTGGAGAAAGGTACAGCAGTAGTTTATACCGCTCAGTAGGAGGCAGGCAGGTGCCACATCCAGCATCCGGTGATTGGTGGCAGAGATGATGCATTCACGGTCCCCCTGTAAATTAGAAGGTCAGAAATTCAACGGCAGGTGACTCGGCAATTAACCTTTTATAGGGCAGGTGACCGTTTTTGATCCCTTGCATACCCCTCACAGATGGAGCCCCCCCGTCCCTCAGTGAGAACTATAAGCACAAGATCTATATCCAGCGATTCAGCAAAGCTACTGCTACATGGCTATAAATCTTATTTTGGCATTTGACCAATTACATGAGCTCTTTAATTATATATTACCTACTGTAAATTAAGTTGAAAAAAGTTAACAAGTCAAGGAAAAAAGGTAAAAAGCTAATTAAAAGGTAAAGTTAAAAAAGTTAGTTAACAATCATATTTAGGTTTTTAAACTAAGACATGTAAGTTCCCATATCAGCATTAATGCCTCTAAGGTTATGTTGTACAAAAAAGGGTTTTTCATTTCTTCTAGAAGCACTTTTGTTATTTTTCTGGCAATTATTTTGCCAGAAAAAATATATTCTGGCAATTTGGCGTTTCTTGTTACATTGATATTCATTTTTGCCACAAAATATCGATATTTTTGAATGTTGCAAAGGTAATAAGGTCTTGTCCTGGATTCAAATAACACTAATGGCTTGAAATTTGGATTTTCAAAGTATTTCACTGAGTGCCCTATAAAGATTTACAGCTAACACAAAAATCGGTTGAACTGGTTTTAGGCCACAATTAACTGGGCTAAAATACTTCGACAATTTATATTTTTAGAATAAGACAATTACCCCATCATTACCTGCTTATTTGGATGTGAAGAATCGAGAACAGAGTCAAAAAGTTTTAAAACTGTAAAACTTAGACAATAACACTCAACCCATCAATGACCCCTGAAAACAAAAATATTTCACTGAAGAGCTGCAGAAAGCCTAATCATGTAATCATGTATATATATATATATATATATATATATATATATATATATATATATATATATAT